TTTCTTTTTCTGTTTAACTCTTAATTTTTCTGTAAATTAGTAGTTAACTCTCGAGGTTTGATCAGATTCAAGGTAGTTCTTTTGACAGGATGCAGTCTTAGGTGGCCTGGTCGTGCCTGGTCCTGCACCATCCGTAGCCTGGGTAGTACGTTGGAGCCGGTGTTGCAGTCACCGTGTTATGACCAGGCAGGCACTTTGTTCTGTTGTGCATAGGGCCACTGTGGGTTGGAAGTGGCTTGACAGCACGTAACAGCAGCAGCACAGGTAGCAGTGTGCTCTGTCAGAAGCACATAACTGGTCTATTTTTATGATGGGTACAGCCATTGTGATTATTTTAACAACTTTAGTAAGGTAAGATTTGCATAGTATAAAAGTTACCCATTTTAAGATGTGTTGCTTTTGTTGTTGTTGTTGTTAGGTGCCATCAAGTCAGTTTCTACTCTTAATGACCACACACACACACACGCGCGCGCGCACACACACACCAGGATTTAACATTGTTCTGTCCAGTGCCATCCTCACAGTTATGTTTGAGCCCATTGTGCAGTCATTGTGTCAGCCCATCTCATTGAGTGTCTTATTTATTTATTTATCTGTTTATTTATTTGTTTACTTACTTATTAGTCGTTTTATTAGGGGCTCATACAACTCTTATCACAATCCATACATACATCAATTGTATAAAGCACATTTGTACATTCATTGCCCAAGTGTCTTATTTTTTTGCTGACCACCTGCCAGGCATGATGTCCTTTTCCAGGGACCGATTTCTCCTGATCACATGTCCAAAGTATGTGGGATAAAGTCTTGCCAACCTTGCATTGAAGGAGCATTCTGGCTGTACTTCTTCCAGGACTACTCTGCTTGTTCTTCTGGTGCTGTCAGTATTTTTGGCCAATATTGTAGTTTTTAAATGCATCAGTTCTGTGGTCTCCTTATTCAGTGTCTAACTTGAACATGAGACAGTTGAAAATCATGGCTTGAATCTGGTGTGTCTTCGTCCTCAAAGTGACAGTCCTTCTCTCCCACACTTTAAGAAGTCTTTTCATAGACGGTTCAGTATTTTCAGTATAAATGTACTGAGTGGTGCAATCAACACTGTAATTCCCTTGTGCCTGCTTATAGCTAATCCTACTCACCCATGTCAGCCACGTGAATCCTCTGTCTGTCTTTAAAGATTTGTTTTTCTGGGTTTTTCATATAAATAGCATTATGACTACTCTAGGTCTAGAAATGAATTAGGGGCTCCACTATGGTGACATTATATCATTCTGTTTTCACTGGTGCTGTAACAGTTTGGTCAAGAGAACCTTTCCTTTCACTTCAGTGTGGTTATTCAGTGGTACTGTTTATATAGAAAGCCAAGACACTTTTTAAAAATAGCAAATTGCTTAACTAGAATTTTCTAACAGTGACCAATTAGGTTAAATTTCTTAATAAATTATGAACTCAAATTTTGAACTTGTCTGAGCACTTTCAATATATTGTAGAAATTACCCATATTGGTATTCATATTGTCTTCTCTTTAGCCAGTGAGATCATCTTCAATTTGTTCTTTTCAAAAATTTATTAATTTTCCTGAGTTCTTTAAAAATATATATTAATTAATTTTTTTGTTTTTGTTTCCTGAACTCTTTTGATACAACCCAAGTAGTCTTTAAGGAATTTATTATTCAGATGATGTTCCATAATATGTCATATCCCTAAAACAAATATAAATTTATTGGTTAATAATAAATACAGCATGTAATGTATTATAAATGTCACATTAATTTAACCTTCTGTTTTTAAACATCTTATGAATAAAACTTACCAATTTACATTCTAATTATCAGTGTCAGTGATACTGTGATGTTGTTAATCTTTTTTTTTTTTAACTGTTACATTGTGAATTAGGTGGGGATTTTTAAAAAAAATCATTTTATTGGGGACTCTTACAGCTGTTACAACAATCCATACATCCATTGTGTCAAACACTTTGTATATACATTGTCATCATACTTTTCAAAACATTTTCTTTCTACTTGAGTCTTTGGTATCAGCTCTCATTTTTTTTCCTCCCTCCTCCACTCTCATGAACCCTTGATAAATTATAAATTATTATTATTTTCATATCTTACACTGTCCGCTGTCTCCCTTTACCTTTGTTTTTTTTTGTTTGTCACCGGGGGGTTTACATTTTAGAGAACCTAATACTAGTCTTAGAACGCTTCTTTGCTGGGGAACTTGGTTCTATGAGTTTATTTCTAATATTTTTTCATCTTGTTCTGAGCTACGATGGAAACCAAGAGCATTTTTTGCTTAGGCCTCCTGTTGCTTTTGCTTTTATGGAAACATCTCTCTCTCAGAAGCCCAGAGTGATATTCACTTCCCTTGAAGTAATTTATGGTTGGAGTTTGAATGAGATAAAAAGGAAGTGCATTTTTTCAGCAAGGGAAATAGGGAAGCGAGATGGAGACATTTTAACACTAATAGCCATAGAAGTGGTTTGTCTTCTGCAAGGGAAGACCTTAAAAGCATGGTTTAGAATCTGAAGTTCTGATTTCTGCGTTTTCTTAAATATCGTTAGACAGTGGCGTTTGCCCCACACTCGTCTGTGCTCTTGCTCTTGCCTGTTTGTTGGTGGCTTTAAGTTTGTCCACTGTGTAGAGAACAGAAAGCAAGAGAAGCGGAGCCAGCCTGTAGGAAGCGATTTCGCCTGTATTTGTCGGGGAAGAGCCCTGTGGGCTCCCGGGTGAAGAGCTGTCGTGTCAGCGCAGCAGCCTCGGTGGAAGTGCAGGGTTCCAGGACGAACTGGGATCATCAGGGGTTGCTGACAAGTCAGTGGGTTGATTTCTCAGAACGTCTTAGAGGAATGAGGCCAGTTTTGTTTTGTTCCAGATTTGGATTCTGCCTGTGTTAAGGTGAAAAAGCCAAGGTTTTCCTTTGGTTGTTCTTTGGAAATCATTCTCACTCATTTTGCTGACTTTAGGACTACTCCCTTGAGTCTGTACATTGCATTCCCATATTGTGTTGAGGATCATTGCCGTGGGCTTGTCTTATGGGTAAACACCCTTCTGATAAGCTTTTTTATATATTTAAGCCTCTCATAGTGAGTTTGCCACAGTAACATTACTCTGAAGCCTTACTGTGTTGTTTTATCTTACAGAATATTTTCCCTCCCCAATTTCCTCTCAAAAAATAAACCATAATCATTTTGTTCCTGCCGAATCATTTCTGTGTGCCATTTTCGCTATTCTTATTGCTGAACTACTATTTAGTTTTTTTTGTTTTGTTTTTTTTTT